GTTAATTAAAATGAGTGATGTTACAGGATGCAGGTGTCTAGTGCTACAGCTGCGTATCGGTAATGATAGCTGATATGTGAGAATAAACACAGGTTTTCTTCTTCAGGTGATAATGAGGGAGAGGGTTTTGAATCTGTGAAATTGTAATAATGTTTGATTTTTCACTGCTTAAATGGAAAATGCTTCATGAGATACATCTTTAATTAGAGTGGTTTGATTTTTGTTTTGCCAGTTCTGTAAATTTTCTTTCACCAGCCTAGCCTGCCTCATTATATCTGGCACCGAGTGACCTCATGCATTGCCCCTAAGGCAGCGCAGCTTGCAACACGACACGGTGAGCCCTGGAAACAAGAATGCAGCCCACAGCGATGGAGCTCTGAGCGCAAACCCTCATTACTGGAGAAGTATCTCCAGCATCTGTTTTAGTTATGAAGACAAATTAAAGGTTAAGCTTGGTGCACGGCACAGATGATCAGCTCAGTTTAGCACTAGATACATCTTAGTCTAAAAGCACTTTTTTCTAAAAGTATTTTATAAAAAAAGAAAAGACTGTATGCTGAAACCATAGCCTGGTTGAATGGCATTTTGCTCTCCCCAGATGACAGCACTAGCCTGGGGTGGATTATGGGGTCTATCCCTCTCATTTTGTTAAAGATGTAGTAGCCTCTCCACATTCAGGTCCTGGCTTCCTCATGCTTCTGCATCCTGTTTGACCCATTGCTAAGCCAGCCCTCCTCAGACCACCAAGACTGATGTCTGAGGTCCTCCTTATCAGTTAAGGAGGACTGAACAATATGGGAGCCCTTCTGAAATCACAACCTACGGTCCCCATTTTTTATTGATCCTGTGTAAAGTGTGGGCCCAGACTCAAGAAACAATAAGGAAAGATAAAACGATGCTTGGTGCATGTGGATTGTTTTGGAGACCTGTGATGTCATCCGTATTGTGCCCCTTTGGAGGTGTTCTGTCAAATAATCTCTCTCGCAGGTGCTGTGACAGGCGCAGAGCCATATTTAGCTGTAGGTTAGGCCAGCATCATTCATGCAGAATAAATAATTCTCTGATAACAATATCTGCATCGGCAGCAGTGAAATCAGTGAGTTACTTTGGATTTGCATGGGTGTAACTGAGAGCAGAATCTGGCCCATGCTCTGTAAAGGAAAGGCCACTAGATTCCAAGAGAAAACTGTGGTTATAAAACCATTTCCCTCTGTCCTTGCAGTCAACCGGAAACCAGAGCAAAGTCTGCGTAACAGAAATGTGCATTTCAGAGAGCTCAGCCCCCAGAAAGCACAGGGCTTTCCATGAGAGGGCCTGGTTTATCTAGCAGCTCTTAGCTTTCAGATTCCCAGAGGCACTGGTGAAGAGTTTCTCTGCTGCTTTTTGTCTTGCTTTGTCCACGAGATATGGGCTGTAGAAAGAGACGGTGCTTTGGGAGAAGGAACCCTTCCATTTACCCTCCAGCTTCGGCTCTTTGTGTTGTTTTCCAGGGGATTGTTACTCTTTGCTGTGAGTTTTTTGGAGTCGGTGGTCTTTCTAGATTCTTGCCTTCTTCTTACCCTACCCATAGCACGCAGCATTCAGGGGAAGGTTAATCACACCCTCGGCAGGAGGCTTCTGGGTCCCTGTTTGTCTTGCAGCTGGCTGACTCAAGCTTGAGGAGTCTCTTCCAAATACAGGATCAGCAAACAACTATATGGTCAGCTCAAGTTTCTGTCCTCCTGCCCGCACTGATTCAGATGGGGAAATCACGACTCAGACGCTGGGCTGCTGGAAGAAAATGCCTGGGAATCTGGAGGAAGGGAAAACGTTGGCAGAAACTTTTTCTTTCCACCATAGCTGAGCTCCTGCAAAAGCAGGAGATCTAAATGCAGGCAAACAGCCCCCCTGCCAGCACCCAGCTGGTTAGACCAGGACACCAGCATTCAAAAAAGCACTGTTTATTGCTGCTTTTATTGCTCCCTAGCACAGGCTAGGCATGACGCAGGCATGAAGTCATTCTCTGAGTGTGGGGTTGAGTTACAAGCACAGCATTTTGCGGCTGGGCAGCTGACTCCCCTGACATCTGACAATGTCTCAGACAAGGGTGTGAACTAAATAGTGGGCTGTGCTGAAACACTTGCTCTCTGGGGTGACCTGTGAAACCACAGCATTGTTTCTGCAACCCTTTTTGTCAACTTCTGGTCAACAGAGACATAGAGACCCAGTTCTCTTCCAACCCTGGGTGCATTGGCTTATTCCTACACATATTGGGCTTGTCTGCATGTGGACCTTTAAGCAGGATTAGCCTAAAATCACCATTTTAAGGCACATTGAGTGCATGTCCACACATGTGCACCCTTCACGTGCCTTAAAACCAGTGATTATAAGCTAATCCTGCCTAAATTTGATACCTGCTTAAAGCAAGTACCAAATTTCGGCACGATTAGCTAAGTCACATTAGCCCATGTGTAGATGCTTAATGCGCATTAACGTGGTGTGCATATTAGCATGGCTACATGTGGGCTAATGTGACTTAGCTATGCGAGCCTAAATTTAGTGCATCTGAATGTGCATTAGCGTGTCTACATTGCCTTAATGCGCCTTAAGCAAAGGCAGATTAAGTTTAGGCATGCATAACTACACGTGTAGACATGCCCACTGCTTCCCAGTTATGGCCACTCTGAGAGTTACACTGGAACAGGTGTGTGCTCCCAAGAGATGCAGTGGGTGGATACCAAGCTGGACTAGGACAGAGTGGGATTGATGGAAGGACTGCTTGGGAGACAGGGTCTGGCCCTGGCCTGTCCCACCTACCAGCACCCTTGAAGCTGGAGGTAATGAATAAACAACAAGTAGGTCTAAGATTGGGGTTTGCCTGAAAGGGGGGGGGTTTGAGTTGTGGCAGAAAGGACCCAGAAGGTGTCTGAGAAATTCACTGTGATTTCTAAGGGGCAGCCAGGTCTGGTAAGAAACCTGGGGCTGGAGCTCATGTTGTCTTGTCCTTTTATGCATTGATGAAGTTGTGCCCCAAGGTGGGTTTTGACCCCATACAGGCTGTGCATGGCACATGCTTTAGAACAAGCAAGAGAAGGACCTGCTCACCGGGAACCAAATCTCAAGTATTCCAACGTTCAGAGGTGACCTTGGACTAAAAGCGCCCTCTCAGCTGCAAAAACCATAAAACAGGAGACTTTGAAGTAACATTTGAAAATAAACCCTGTTCCTGTTGCTGTCTACGGAGGTTTTCCATTGATTTCTGTAGGTTGGAAATAGCCTACTGTAACTATTTTCAACATGCAAAAGATTTGAGGGGTGATTTCTATAACCATGAAATACAATCATGAAAAACACAGGGGTATATTTCAAGAGTGCTAGTTTCCTCTTTATCTCTGAATTTGATCCATGCATCCTTATTTTCGCATATTTTTCTTTTCTACATGGAAACATTGCTCTTAGTAATGTCCGTCTCTGACATTTGTCTGAGTGGAAGTCCAGGCATGGTCTTGAAATTGCAATACTTGGGCAAAATGTCACATCATGCTACTGCCCTGTCATTTAGGCTGGAATGCCATAAAGAGGTTCGGTTCATTGCAATTTTCTGCGTTATATGTGAAGACATGTCATCCCTATTATTTCTGGCAGACTGCACATGGAATACAAAGAATAAATCTGGTTTGACAAGGTGATTCGTTTCAAGGATAATTAGCTAGGAACTCTCCATTTGGAAAATAACAGGGAAGCTGGCCTGGCGTTTATGATGCCAGAGTATATGAAGAGCAACCTGCATTTCATTTTCATTACTGCATGTTAAACCAGTGACCTTTTTGTCTTCAGCAAAAGTCTGCCCCTGAAAGTTAACGTAGGAGTTAGCCAAGTCAGAAGGGAATGCAGAGATTTCACTGTGCCTTCTAGCCAGCATGCAATGGTCTTCAAACTGGCATTTACTGGTAAATAGAACCCCATATTGCCCCATACCAAAGTGGTGAGAGGGTTGGAGTGGGGTGGAGGAGAATACAGATGTGAGGCAGTGCCACATCTGGGTTGTATAATGCCTTGTTTTTGGGGAAACTGCAGGAACTCCCCTGCAGCTGCCTCGCAGAAGCCTGCTTCTATGATGCTGTGGGTGGGAGGAGGTTTGGGGAACTGCATCTTCCCTGAGGAGTGCCTGGGTATTCTGGCAGAAGCCACATCCGACTTAATGCTACTTCCAGACTTAGGCTCACACAGTCGCCCACAGAGATGGGAGTCAATGGATTTCTAACTTTGCCTTCCCTTCTGGAATGTGTGTTCAAAAGCGTAATCGCCTGGGGAGGGAGAGACACTCACAGGGTGCGTGACAAGACGTACTAACTGTGTGTTATCATGAACATCAAGCGGTACTGTTGGTGAGGTTAACATTGATTTTTGGATTTGCTCCTGTCAATTCTTATCCCCTGGGTCGATAAATCTTGGTCACATCAAGGGAATATCCTGCCATCTGTTACCTCTTTAGTATTGTCCTTCTGTCTTCACTGCTCGTTATCACTGCAAATTGTTTTCTGACATGCCAGCCTGAATAGAGGTGTCTGGAACAAATGGAACAGATGAGGTTTCCATGGATTAGGCAGTGGAAAGGTGGGTATATTCTGCAGATGCTGTGACCTCAGTATAGAATAAGACAGATGAGCAATGATACCAGGGGAATGGATGCAGACAGATATACAGCCATGAAAAAGGAAGTAGGTTTTCTGCAGCCAAGAGTCTCTAGGTCAACTCGCCCTTCTTATGCCAGAGAATCTGAGCTCCATTTTAGTCCAAACTGCACCTACCCCCAATTCTCTCCCTTGTTATAGACCAATTATCCCTGGGAAAATCCACACCACCACTGGTGTTTTCTCTGCAGTAGTGCATGTAGCCACCTTTTGTACTAACCATTGTGAGAGTTTTGTCTCATTCACACAAGCTTTGCTTTTGGATTTTCATTTTGCCTTTATTTTTCTCTGCCCTCGCCTCATTTTTCTTCTTATTTTTCTTTTCAGCAAAGTCCTGGGAAGGATCACCCTCAACAACTGCTGCTACATTAGCTCCACCATCTCCAGCTAAAACTACTAGTGGTATCACTCTAAGTATGTGTCTTTCTAGCAGAGAATATTGTAAATGCTAAAGTACTCATCATTACTATATATATATATACACACACACACACACACAGGTCATTATATATATACACAAAGATCATATATATATGCACATGCACACACATGTTATATCCATGATGATTTAGACTCTTTAAATTTCTGTTTATTGTAGTTTTTATCTAAAAATAGCTATAATTCTAACTAGATCAAAAGAAAAAGTGAAATGCTGAATCTGGTCCCGATGTGTATGAATGGACACAAGGGTAAATTAGAGAAACATGGTGGTAAATTGGGTCCTATGTCGAATATTGTGTTTTTTCAGATGACCTAGCTAGCTTCCTTCCCTTCAAATGAGTCTTTGGCATCCTTCATAAGGGATGTTTCACCATGACACAGATTTCCACAAGGTGACACAAGTGTATTTCCTATAGGCTAGGACAGTCTTCAGTGGAAAAAGTCCCTGTCTATGTGTTGAAAGACCCACAGTTGGTCTCAATTGGTGCAATTTAACCTAATCCCACTGGAACCTGGGCCTTACAACAACAGCACAGGATCACTCCAGTTTTATGCTGTTAGTCCACTTAAATCACTGGAGTGACACAGGGGGAGAACTGGATTGACACAGCCCTGAATCAGCAAGTAGGAAACGTAAGTAAGCTAGCTAGATATCAGCCAGAGGCTGGTTGTATGCAGTATTCGTGTTTGCTCAGGAACTTCACAGTGAAATCTTCCATTCATTTTTGCCTGAAATCCTAAGTGTAAATCCATTCCTAAGTGTTTATTACCTGCAGAAGACTCATTGTAGCACCACGAGTTTGCTCTCCCCTAACGAGATGTCTTAGTTACAGGTGGCCTCATCTTGTGAGGTGCTGCCCTTTAATGTTCTTAGCACCCCTGTCTTTCTTGATTCCATGAGCTGTAGAGCCAGCAGTTTTGTGGAGCATTGCTCAGCCAGTCAAGAGCATTGCTTAAAATGTATGGAAACGTTATTTACAATGATTAAATTAAATCTATAAATTAAAAAGGACATAAAATAGATTCTCTAGTTTGATTTTTGGGTGTGTGATTTTTCTATTGCTTCTCGGTAACTTGTAGATTAGACCTAGCCTACAAGTTGCTAAAAGCTCTGCCTGCATTGTTTTCCATGTAAATTCATTGCTGATGCAAACTGGCAAGCACGTCTGTATTAGTAGATACCTGTCTAGCTACCTGTTAGTCTAAACCAGGTATTTAGACTCTAATTAGTAATATTTCCATCTGCAGCTCACTGCTGGCACAAAAATAGCTGCTGCAGGTATCTGCAGATAATTATCTGGCTGTTGGTTCCAGCCATGTACATTTATACAAAGACTATTCTAGGAATCCTAGGCTATGTTTAGTACACAACGTTTTGCTGGGATTAAATATTTCTCCTAGAAAAGCAATTTAAGCAGCTCCCTGTTACACATTAGCCAGAAGGCCAAATAACTACTGCATATCTCAGAACAAGATTGAGTTTTATGATCATGTGCATAAAAAGGAAGAGATGCCATTTGCCTTTTCAGTGTCACAAAAGCAGAACAAGCAATCACTTTATATCTACCTTTGTGACTCATTTCTGTGAATTAAACTTGTGTGGAAAGATTATTTTTGTGTTACTGTAATACCCAGGGGGGCCTCAAGGTCCTAGTCATAGTACAAATATGCTAGGCACAGTAGAATAAAAAGTCCTGACCCAAAGCCCCAAAGTCCAAGGCCCCGGTCCTACAGTCAGCAGTCAGCAGGCAGACCCTGGCAAAGTCAAGGATCTGAGTACTGGAGGAAGAGGGGAGGGGGATTGGGTTGTAAAGAGGAATTGCAGAACTAGGCACCCAACTTCCCTTGAGGGTGGCACAGCTCAGGTGCCTCCAAAATGACCAAAAACAACAGTAGAAGATCACATACGTGAGGATATAGAGACCAGGAACACAAGCTTTTTTTGTGTGTGTGTTGACTAGCGTTTTCCATTATTGCAGTTACCTTCTACAACATTCAGGTGAACTTTTCTGTTACCCATGAACCCCAGACACCTCCTGATTATTATGATGTAAGGAACGTTACTGAAACCTGGGTAAGTAGTTTTGACTTTCCTTTCCTTCTGTATAACTGATAGAGGATAAGGACAATTAAATAAAAGATTCTCAGTCTCCAGCAAAGTTACAGAGGAGTGTTCAGTTCACAGAAAAAGCAAAAGCATGAGATTTCATAATCCTGTTGCTTGACAGGATAAAATTAGAGCTTGTCAAAAAGAGGACACATTTTGCCAATGCTTTGGCAAAAAAAGTCTGCCCTTTTCCTTTGAAATTCATAATTTTGATGAAAGGTGTTGCATGAATTGAATTTACATGCAGGTCTTGTCTCCTTAAAAACTTGGCATGTGAGTTATTTTGTTATTTCATCTTTGGTTCCTTTCCTCTATTTTACAGTTTGTATTTTTATTTATTTATTTGTTACCTTACAGCTTAATGACAGATTGTCTGGCACTGAATTTGTTGTTACAAATTACAAGATAAAGACAGTAGGCAGGTAAGTGTGCGACTGTAGTTAGTTATTTGCACCACAACCTTCCAACTTTAGAAGAGTTTGCAATCAAATTCTAGATCCACGTTTTGTCGTGGACCCTTCTCATTAGTATGGGTTAAGCTGGGACTCCACATCCAGCCACCTATGACCTTTAGAAGGGTTCAAATTTTGCCTTTTGGGCCCAATACTCCTGTTTTCTCACATCCTGAGTAATGGAAGCTGACAACTGAGGGCCACGTTGGGAACTCATTTCACATTCTGGGTTAAGAAGGTATGAATGTTTACTGCTGTGGGGGTGGGGGTAGGGGACTGCGTGAATCTCGGCAAGGTCAAGATCCTGAACATTCAGAAATGGGGTGTAGGGTCCTGAACCATGGTGGGCTACAGATAATCTGTCTGGCTCAGTATTTACATAGCTCTCATCATACCAGCATCTGAATGCCTGAAGTCTGAATGCCTGAATCTATTGTAGGATTTACAGGTGCAAAGTCCCATTAAGAAATAATGTACCAAGCATGATACTTCAGAAACACGTATTTGTATATCTCTGTTTTACTGGTGGGGACAGAGAAGTGGGCATGTTTATCATTTGCTATACTGACAGCACCGTGACTTGTACGGACTTTGAGATATTATTTATCATCATGCATATACCGACTTCTTGCTGCTTCTCCTGGTTTCCCAAACATCCCTTGATTTGGGGAGATTTTGGGTTGCACCAATAAAATAAAACACTGCATTGTGTGTCTGATTCTGAAAACCACAGAGGCAAGCATAAAGGCAGAATGTGGAATAAATAGAGTGAGAGATTAGGATTTAAAGTGTATTACCTTGTGCATCTGTTGTATAATCATATACAAGATGCAATACTTAAATCTCTTAGGAATTAAGGGATTAAACTTTTTTCAAAACGAAACTGAAGGGCTCGTATAGAATAAGAAAATGGTGAAGGCATCTTACATAACATTTTGATTAGTCTGTTTTGTTTGCCTAAGTAGCTTTTTAAAGTGACATGCTCTGTAGAGAAGTATGAGCTGGTTAAGATGTGCAGCTGTGGAAGTACACAAACCTGATTTGGAAGGAAGGTTTTGTAGTGAAGTGGCTGGTACGACATGCTCCATTGCTCTCTGCTGGACAGAGCCAGCATTGCTGGATTATGTCATAAACCTCTGCTGCTAGGAGGGCGAGTTTCTTCAGGTAGATGTGATATCTTATATTGGACCAAGGATTTCTCTAACTCCAGTGGTTAGGACAGGGGGTTGTGAGCTCCATCAGTGCCATTGCCATGAAGGTCGAAAAGGCTCTTATAAGATGCACATCAGTGATGCTCCTGGCTGACCAGCGATTTGTTAATGTAGTAAATATTCCTAAAGGTACAACAGGCAGTTCTGGGAAGGGGGCACATGATCCGTGGCAGCTTCTTTGGGTACCAACGTCTATGATGTGGATCATTATGTTTGCTGTGGAATACTTACTCTCTTTTGCTTTGCTTACAGGGCTTTGACAGAAGGACGTGTCCAGAAGAAGGCTCAGGTACATATGAAACAAGAAGTCAACTTGTCTTCAGATACCAAAATCCACCACAACATGCTTTTCCTTACCTTTCCTCTTAAGGTATTTTAGCTGCAGGCTGAAAGGTAGCTACCCTGAGACACTGTACATTCAAATTTATTGTCCCTGCTCAGGGGTGGTGAGAAGCTGTAAAGATCAGATTAACTCAGGGATGAACTTTATAACTTCTGCTGGTCCTCTGGAGAAAGCTCAGCTGAACACTGTCTGATTTTAGACTCCTGCAGTTCTGGCTTAAGTTTCATTTCAAGGCAAGGGGTTTGGGTGTCCAGGAAGGGAGTCAGGCATGTGCTGAGTTTGTAACTGGTGAGTGAGGTGGTTGGCTTTCAACGTGGCTCCTTTATGTATGGCACTCATGACTATTCCCCTAGTAACCATGACTCGGTCTGCACTCCCAGCATGGGCACTCTCAAGGTTGTCCTGCCTCCCTGCTCCAGCTTGCATGCACCAAATCTGGAAATGCACCGGTAAGGATGCTCTCAGGCTGTCTGCAGGGCTGTACTCAAACTCCACAGAGACTGAGGTCTCAAGGACAAGTGGGAGGGAGGGAGGTCCATGAAGGAGTGTCACCAGCCCATCAGCATCATGTGAGCCTGAAGGGACATGCTGGAGACACAGTGCACATGTCCCATGCACTGTATGTACCCCCTGCTACTCTTGTGGTAGCCAACAGTATTTTGCTCCGTCAGAGGCCGCTGCTGGCCCAGGGCAAATTATATTTCATCTGAGCTGACACAGAACGACTTGTTTAGGGCACTTGCAGGAAAAAAAAAGGAAAAGGATGGCAAGATTTGCAGTCATCCCTCTCATCCAGCAGCTTGTTCAGCAGAGCACGCACAGGAGCTACTCCCCCTCTCCTTTCTAACCCCCCGCTTTCAGGATGGAGGCATCACCCCCTACCTCTCCCCAGCTCCAACTGGCCCTCGTCTTCTTGTCATTCCTTCTTTTTCCCCCTCCTTAGTCCCAGACATTTGAGCAATGCTGTGGGAGGCACATTTCTCATGCCTCCTCCATGTGTTGCCCAGGCACATTTCTAAAGATGCAAATGGCACTGAAGCCCCTGGCTTTTGCTGGTGTTCAGGAGGAGATAGGAGCCTCAGTAACTTGTGTGTCTGTGGAAATATTCCCCATCAGATTTTGGGACAGGAGGCTGGCAGGAAAGGTTAGCTACTATTTTGCTGCCTCACAGTGTCATGCCACTTTGTCTGTGTAACACAGGACTCTCAATAAGTTTGTTAGAGAACTTAAGTGCATAAATGAGATGTGATGGTGATTCATAACTAGGGTAAACAGAGCTGTAGAACAAGTTATCCTAAACAGTTTCCTAACCCTATTATTTAAGAAACTTGCTACTTGGGTTATATTGGCTTAATGCAGCTGTAACAGGAGTAACTCCCTAGGGGTCATTGTGCTCTCCCTTAGCACCCCTTACCATGCCCAGTCGGTCTACGATGTACCCTCAATCTCGCCTGCCATGTCTTTGATGTCAATTATGTAATTAGGGAGGCTGCCTCTTCTGTTCTCCTGGATACGGTTATCCTCCTGTACATTAGCTCGGCTCTGCTAATGGGTGTTCCTGGGCACCCCAGCCTTATGGGCTATGCATGGCTCCAACCACCCCTTTACCAGGCCCCCAGCCTCGCAGATGTACCGGACATTGTTCGGTCAGTCTCGCTCTCGTCGCCCCCTCTGGCGCTCGGGCTTCTCGCTGCCCCCTGCTCTGGGGTTACTGCAGCCTTGGGGCTCAGGTGGCCGTAGCCATGCCTGGCCCCAACTCTCCTCCTTGGGGTCTCGGCCGTCCTGCTGGGCTCAGGCGGCCTCAGTCTTACCTAGCCTCTGATTCTCTGCTCCCCTTTTCCTCGGGGCTGGGGTCAGTGCACCCCTGGATGCTGCACCCTCTCTGGTGCCGGGGTCCCCACGCTACCGTGGAGCCCCTATGAGGCCTCCTCCAACCCCAAATAGCCTCACCCGGTCCTCTGGTGTAAACCACAAACACAAAGCATAAGCCCCTGGGCTATGACAAATTCTAGATGCTTAGCTGTAATATCCTTCGAGCCACCCAACGGGTACTCTGTCTCTTCCCCCGTATCAGCCTGCTCGTGCAGTCCAGCTTCTCCTCTCTACTCGCATAGGCAGAGCTCTCTCTCCCTTGGCGGCCAGCAGCTCACACACCCCGGCCTCAGACTTGTGGTTTATATATGTAGGCACCAGGCCCTGCCCCTTCTGGTCAGCTGACCAGGCAGGTGTAAGTCCTTACCCTCATTAACCGGTTGGCCCGGCAACCTGCACCTGGGTCCTTATCTCTGCTCTCAAAGTAGCAGGCACCTTAGTGCCCTGCTACAGCACCCAATAGATATTGTGACTTGCAAAGTATTCTTACTGCACATAGAAAGACAGATACTCATTTCAAGCAAGTGGCTGCAATCTAATGAGGGTATCAAGTTGCTGCCGCTCCCTTCCACTGAAATCAAGTATTATTACATTAAAGCCAACTGCAGCTTCCTAACCTTATTCTAACCTTTTGTTTTGTCTTTGTCAACTGAAGATGGAGATAAAGCAGAACTCCCGAAGGTAGGATCCATGTTCTTGAGTTGCATTTTCATTGCTGTTGATTGCATTGCGTGCTTCAATTCCCACCCTCACAATTATATAGTCTGTAGGTGATGGTCTTGTAATATGATAATCACCCTTATTTAGTTATTTCTTTTTAAATCATTAATTATTTTTTGGTATTTTTTAATTATGGAAGAGGCTTAAGCTCCTTGAAAGTGATAAAGTAACTTATTATTTGGGCTTCTTACACAGCAATTTGCTTCCAGTCTCTGGGTTGTCTTTGTAATAAGTCTTGGCTTGGGACATGCCATCTTCTTATACAATGGAAGGGAAGAGTACAGAATGCCCATCCCTCCCACTGACATTACCCTGATGTGCGTCCTTCGTACTCCCAACGTTTAAACCTTAAGTGATACATATATATTGTTTGATTTTCTCTGACGTTCCAGGAGTGTTTAATACCTTCTGGACTGTAGTTCCTTCTTCTCACCCTCCTATAAGGCAGTTCAGGCAGCACTGGATTTTGGTGCAGGATGGGTCTTTATTGCATTGAGTGTTGTAGGTACAGTACATGTCAGCAGTCTAAATGGAAGTCCCCTTTACCTTAAAATCAAGTCTTGGACTTAAGACCTGTGGGTTAATGATTAACTAACTGGTGGCCCATCACTACAAATGCAGCATTACTTTTATGTGTATCTTGTATTTGTAGCTATGGCTCCAAAGCCATTGTAAAGGTCGAATCTTCTGAAACACAAGAAGAACTGACTGAGAAGATAAGACAGCTGTTGACTGGCATGCATGTGGGGAGACGACTGTCGTTCTCATTGGAACTTGACAATGTGACTGTTGCCCCAATAGGTAATATTTTTATTATGTGCTATTGAATATTTGTTGCTAGATTTATAAGTATTATGACAGGGTTGGGTCAAATTGAAAAAGAGGTCAGAAAGGAGCTTTATGATCAATGAGATTCACTCCTAACATCACACAGGCCACAAAATTTTATGTAACGGTTCCTCCAGCAAGCTCTAAACCTGGTGGTTTGACTTGAGGACATTGCTGAGAAATAGACACTCAGCCTGGATGTCAAGGCTCTCAAGGCAGTAATTTGTTACAGTGCTTCATTCCACGTGTTAAGGTGCAAGTGGCTTCTGTATCATTCAAGGAACCTGCTTACTCTGGATGCATCTACACGTGCAATTAATGTGACTGAATAAACTCTGGCACAAACTGAGCCAGAGTAGATTAATCCTGACGTCACCATCTACACATGAGTTTAAGCACAGTGTTTTACTCTGCGATCAGGTAGTACCTGTGTCTGATGGCACTATCCTACGCCGGAGTAAATTAATCTACTGTACCTTAATTGCAGTGCACGTGTAGACGGTGATGCTTTACTGCACAGTAAATTATTCTGCTTCACTGGGGGCGTGTCTACACGAGCTGCCCATTGCACAGTTGTTATTGCAAAGTCATTTAGTACTTGCATAACCACGTATTAAATGACTGTGCAGTTACTGGAGTTACTGTGTAGCAGCATCCTGGCACCATTGCCTAGTGATGCTTACTGCACAGTAGCTCAGTACTACTGTATGGTAATGTCATGTCACAGTTCATGCATGGCAACACTACCTCACAGTAGTAACAAGCGATTGCACGGTACTAATGAGCTACTCCACAGTATGCATCTCATGTAGATGCGGCCAGTAAAGCACACATTTAGACATGCCTCTAGGTCTGAATTTGGCCTGTTATGGTTATTGATGCAGCTTATTGATAGCTGTTATGGTTTACTAGGTGCTTGACTTAGGGTAGAATCTTGAATCTGAACCCCTTAGAAAGGTGTGAAAGTGGACGTCTGGGATGGCTCTTAAAATGGGAACATATGCTCATCACCAGAACTAAAACTCCTACCTACTGGTGTTACTGTTGATGTGTCATCAAATCCCACAATAAAGAGTGTAGCATCCCTAGGAGAAGATTGCTCCTCAGTTCTTCAACTGTTTTGCTCTTCTCATGAAAACACACTTTTTAGAGGTGGGAGGAATTGGAGAATGCACTTCAAATGAGTCAAAATTCCTCAAAATGATGGCTTGACTAATCTTTGCTATATGGGGTTTGAATCACATGTAATGTAGAATATGTTTTTTAATAAGTGCCAGAGAACAGCACAGGGAACTCAGTTACGGTCTATGGTCTTAAGCCATGCCACTTTGACTATTTGTGTCTCCATTTACAATATTTGTCCTCCTCCAGAAATACTTACTGGCTGTGTCTACACAAGATATTGACTGCACAGTTGTTACTGTGCAGTCATTTGGTACTTGTATAAACAAGTACCAAAATTGCTCAGTAACCTGAGTTACTGCACAGTATCATCGACAAATGCCATTTTTGTGATGTTACTGTATAGTAGCCCTGAGACTACTGCGCAGTAGTGTCACATTATGGGTTAAGCTACATGACATTACTGTGCAGTAGTCATAGGCTATTGCACAGTCAGTATCTCATGTAGACATGGCCACTGTAGAGAAAAAGAAAAAAAAAGAAAAAAGAATTAACCTATTTGCAGCTGCAAGGTCCCCTGTGAACCACACACTACATTCATAGAATCATAGAATCATAGAAGTGGGGTCGGAGGGACCTTGTAGATCTTCAGGTCCGACCCCCCGCCTGGG